GTGTCTATCTTATTAAAACACTGCCTCCTTCACCGGGTTCGATTTTTTTTTTCCACTTTTTGCATCTGAGAAAGCACTTTGAGAGGTGTTTTGACAGTTCAGAGCCACCAAGCTAAAGGGTAAGCTAAACACATTGCCGTCATTTGAGCTATAGATAACTTTATGACAAACACAGTGCATAAAATAAAGACAGAATGTGGCAGATATTTAAGAACCCATGACTGGATTCAGTGACCTCTGCCCTACTGCTGTTTGGTGTGTGGGTGTGTGTGTCTATACGTTTGACTTACTGCCTATAGTCATAAAAGGAAGCATGGTATGCTTTCATTCCAATGCTTTGAGATGTCAACGCGGCTTCCATCTATTATCTCTACGGTGCTGCCAGTCTTTGTACAGAATTTGTTTACGTACGTGAATGTGTGAAGTATCGCAAACAATGAATTAAAATTCCACTGATTTCCTGAAATAAACTTTGCATTTTGGGATAATCCAGCGCAGCTCTTTTATAATAAGCTGAACTCTCCTTCCTCTCTATGCTGTATTGGATAAACACAATATGTAGCCTATTCCTCTATCTTTTTCTACTTTGTAGAAGAGAGAGGAGAACAACATATCACTGCTTGAACTGACTCAGAATTTTTTTTGCATTTTTCGTAATGGATTAATTAATACACATCGGACTCAGTGTGCAAGGTTTGTTTACATTACGAATGTTTCGAATATGAATAAGAAAAAAACGGAAATATCAGACTTCAGTGTGCAAAGACCCTAAGTCAGAATGCACATGGCCAATGGCAATGCAGATGATGGTTAAACTTTAATTAATATTTAGATCACATGCATCGTTAATTGTGTGGCATACTTTGTACATATTTATCAGCAATGATCTATTACACCCCTAATACCAACGATATCTCACAGCAGTTTGTAACCTTTGGATTTATTGGCTAATTTGTATGAATTTGTACAATGTAATTCATACAATTTAGTACTATTTGCTCATTCCCCAGTGACAGTTAGGTTTATCATACATTTTCATACGACTAAACTTGTACGAATGAGCCAGTAAGTGAAGTTTTGCAAACTACTTTCGAGAGGAGCATGTGATATGATTGATCGTGGCTGGTCCCTCATCTGTGATCAGTAAAAATCCAATCAGAGTGATCCAAGCTTACAATAAATAGACCAATTTCACCTTATCTTTGTTTTGGAGGAATCCCCCCTTCAACCCCAGGTCCTTCTTTACCAGGGGGAGATCTCGAGACCTTCCTGATCTCAGACCCAACTACATGCTAATTGACCAGGCAGGAGGCCTGCGCTCAATTATCTCCAAGCTTTGAGTTCTCTCCCGGAACAGCATGCCAAACCTGCTAATAGCATCAAGAAACATCTATGTTTGAACTCTTGAAACTGATGTAAAATAATGTTTCCTCATGAAATCAGGCTGCTACTACTCAAAACTGCAAGAAAAATAATTCCATTGCAGAAATGTTTAAAATAAGCAGAATTTTACTTCTTACCTTTAAAATAAGATGTAGCACTTATGAATGAAATGATTGGTATTTTTGCTTTAAATATGTGGCAGTATAAATAGTAACAAAAAACTACAAAATAACACACAAGTGCTAATTGTGAATAGCCTTGAACATGAACCTACTGTATATAAAGACCTTTAGAAACAATGTGGTAAAGCATTTGGACATTTTTGTTCCTGATTATCATGAGTTATTTTCCACATCTAAGGAGAGAGTGCCCTACTCTGTATCTCTTCTGTCGTTGATTACCTACGGATGCTTTCCTCCTCTGGTTGCTAGGTTTTGTGTGCCTTTTTTTCCAGTGACTGGATTTCAATGTTTGCTGAGTTTGTATTTGCTATTTATCTGCCTACTATTGCTGACAGTGATTAGATATACCTATACTCATTTTTCATTTTTCTCTTTTGATACATAAAGCTTTTTTTTTTTTGCCCCTTTCTGTAGCCTATATTAGTTTAAATATGTGATTCTATAAAAGTCTGATAACATGTTGTCAAATAATAACACAGTATTGTCATTGGTGCCAATAGCCTAGTGATTTAGTGCATCGACACATAGCGTTAAGGGTCTTTTGCTGAATCTTTTCCACTCTCTCTGCTTCACACATATTTTTGTCCCAACTCTACTGTCCTGTATATATAAATTGGAAAAACATAAAAATATACTGTATTGTCATTTTTAGATGTATAATCATTTTATAAATATAATACAAATTTTAAGTAAGGGTTTATAAGTAAGTCCTGCACATTGAATCTTTTTGACAAAAATGATGATGATGATAATAATATATTTCTTTGAGAATCAAACCAGCATGCTAAAATGATTTCTGCAAGATCATTTGACTCTGAATACTAAAATGATAGCTGCTGTAATGGTGAAATAATAGTTTAAACGAACAGTATTTATCTGAAAAGAAAGCTTTTTTCAACATGAAACACGCTGTAACATCTTTTATTTTTTCAAAGAAATTAATACTTTCATTTAGTAAAAAGAAAAGCAAAAGAAGGCAGCACAATGGCTCAGTGGTTAGCATTGTACCCTCACAGCAAGAAGGTTGCTGGTTCGAGTCTCACCTGGACCAGTTGGCATTTCTGTGTGGAGTTTGCATGTTCTCCCCGTGTTCATGTGGGTTTTCTTCTGGGTGCTCTGATTTCCCCAACAGCCCAAAAACATGCGTTATACTGTAGGTGAATTAAATAAATAAATTGGCTGTAGTATGTGTAAATAAGTGTGTGTGGATATTTCCCAGAACTGGGTTGCAGCTGGAAGGGCATCCACAGTGTAAAAAATATGCTTGATTTCAAATACTGTATTGAAATTGTTTATATATATTATTTTTTATAAATATTATGCAAATTTTATCAAGGGTTTATTAATAAGTATTTTTTTTTTTTAAATGATGATATTTCTTTTTTCTTGAGGATCAAACCGCTGTGCTAACATGATTTTCGGAAGTTCATATGACACTTGTTATTACCCCGAATGTCTAGGGCTGGGGTTGAAGCATAAATGAAAGAATAAATAAATAAACAGTTAGCAGACTATGATTTTAATAACCTTTAGGTTCTTTTATTCTGAGAAAAAGGGGAAAAGTATATACATATACAGAATATATACAGAAACAAAGAATAGGTGCACAAACATAAATAGCTTCAGGGCTATTTATAAAACTGCTGTAAATCTTTGTGAAACAATAATTTAAACTAACAGTTTTTATCTGATACGGAAAGCTTTTTTCAACATGAAACATGTTGTAACATGATTCATGCTGCCATCTTTTTTTTTTTTTTTTTAAAGAAATTAATACTTTAATGATTTAGTAAAAAGGAAAGAAAAAGAAAAACAAAAGCTACATTAAAGCATTGAAGACATTTATAATGTTAAATAATAGAAAAAAATCATTCTATTTTATATAAATGCTTTTTTTAATGAATAAATGATCAAGGTTGATAATAATAAATCTATTTAACAGCAAATTAATAAATTAGAATTATTCATACACTGTAAAACCCAAAAAGTTAAGGTAACTCGAATCGTTTGAGGAAACCAATTGCAACAAACCATTTACTGTAAGTTCAAAACCTAATCCTAATGAGTACTGTGAACTTAATCCATTTGAGTAAATGAAGCAATTTGAGCACAGTAAAACCCAATAAATGAAGACAACTCAAACCAACTGAGTACTGTAAAAATGAATAAGTTAATGCAACTCAAATTGTTTGAAGAAACCGATTGCTACAAACCATTTGAGGTAAAAAAAAAAGTAATCTATATGAGTACTGTGAACTTACTCCATTTAAGTTGAAGTAATGAAGTATTCAATTAACCCATTATCTTTAACACTGAGTTCAAAACTCTTTTCAAATGAGTAAAATTTAACTTTCAGCAAATTTTGAGTTAACTATAATAATAATAATAGTAATAATAATAATTCCTTACATTTATATAGCGCTTTTCTGGGCACTCAAAGCGCTTTGCACATTGGGGGGGGGGTCTCCTCATCCTCCACCAGTGTGCAGCATGACGCGACGGCAGCCATTTTGCGCCAGACCGCACACCACACACCAGCTGATTGGTGGAGAGGAGACAGAGTGATAAAGCCAATTGGAATATGAGGATGGTTAGGAGGCCATGATAGACCAGTGGGCAGATTTGGCCAGGATGCCGGAGTTAAACCCCTACTCTCTTTTAACGTCCACAGAGAGTCAGGACCTCGGTTTAACGTCTCATCCGAAAGACGGCGCTCACTGAGCAGTATAGCGTCCTCTTCACTCTACTGGGGCATTAGGACCCACACAGACCGCAGGTTGGGCGGTCTCACTAACACCACTTCCGGCAGCAACCTAGCTTTCCCATGTGGTCTCCCATCCAGGTACTGACCGGGCCCTGCTTAGCTAAAGTGGGCGACCATGTGATAGTTGCAGAGAGAGCTATCTGCCGGTTATATATTAACCTAACTACTAGGTTAATATATATATAAATACTCATTTCATTTGATAAGGTTAACTGTTGGGTTTTACAGTGTAAAGGATTTAAAGGATGAGACACTGAAGACTGGAGATATGAGGCTGGAAATGCAACACAGGACTAAACAGCATTTAAAAAACAGAAAACAGTTACTTTAAATTGTAAAAATCTCACAAAATGTCACCATTTATGTTGTATTTTAGCTATATTTAAATAAAGGCATTCTTCTCTTACTTTCTTTTCTTTTTCTCTCTGTCTGTTCCGAGTTTAGTAGCTAGACAAATTCATAACATCCTGTGCATTAATATTGACAAATATTTTGCGATGATAAGTGTGTATTGATGTTTTCCCTGACCTGTCAAGGACTTTGAGGCATGGGCCTGTAACTCTGATTGACCGTCCAGTCCTGTGTTTGTGCTTGTTTATGCTGATTGAATGTATCTTGTGGTGCTTTTTTCTCTCTGTTGTCTGACCGGCTTTATTCTCTCTGTCTCTCAGCTGGAATATACGGCTCGTCTGGACTTCCTATGGCGTGTGCAGGCGAAGGAAGAGATAAATGAGATGCGAGAGCTGCGTGAGCACAATGAGAACATGCTCCGGAACATTCTTCCCAGCCACGTCGCTCGCCATTTCCTGGAGAAAGACAGAGACAATGAGGTAGAGAGACAGATTCACTCCTTCAGTCTGACAGGGAAAACATGGCAGCACTTAGACAGCAAGAACATGCGAGGAGACGATGAATCACTGCCACTTTCACTCTCTGGCCTCTTAATTAGCATGACAGTCAACTCTCTTTAAAACAGCTTTAGCTGCGCAAGTCAAAACCAATTAAAATACATGCATAAATCACTAATGACTATACAGTACGTGACAAAAGTAAATCAGTCAAATTTGGTAAGGTCAGTGCACTCTGTAAGAAATGGTGTATATTTTAGTTCAATGAAAGTTGAAAATGATAAACTGAAATGCTTCCAATAATCATTTATTTGTTTTGCTTTGAAAAATAACAAATAGCAATTAGCATACTTGTCAGCCTTCCCGTTTTTCCCGGGATTCTCCCGTATTTGGCACTTCTTTCTCGATATCATCCTGTAAAGGTATTTTCCCATATTTCTTCCATATTTTTCTGTGAACGGTGGCTATAAACATTAAAGAGCCGAAACCATACCGCCAAACCACCAGGGGATGCCCCTTGCTCTTAAATGTGAATCTGTTCTGTGCTTTAATTTTATTTAGGCATGAAAACACTTTAAAAATAATTATAAATATGTCTGGATTCCCTTCGTTTTCACTGCAAGTGCTCTTGCCCCTCCTATGAAATCCTCAAAACAGTCAGTCCATGTAGCGGTCCATGATGTAAGACGTGCTCCATAGTGATTATAGATGCTGTTTCCCAAACGGATTCTGTATACACCTAATTATATACATGTATAACTCATTTAAAGCGGAGCGAAAGTGGACACTCTGGGTTTTGGGTGCATGTTTTAACAGACATATACACATAATTAAAATAATAATAAAATAATAATATCTAAACATGTCGATATCGGTGGCTTTTCCTTTAAACACAACAAATTTTTGTCATAAATTAGCATAAAGCAATAAAGCAATCAATTGCTTTCAATATAGATGACATGTGCATTTTTAAAGTGATACCTTTTTCATTTTATGTGATCAAATGAGAGATTTATTACGCCCCAAGTCTAAGGGAAAACAACATGGGCATAATAAACAAAACAAAAAAATGTTGCGGGTGGATTTCCCAAGCAAAAAAAAAAAAAACTAACGCAAAAGATCCCACTTCGGTCGACAACCAATCTCGGGCACTCAATTGAGAGTAATTTAATAGATTTATTATACACACTCAGAAATAAAGGTACGTCAACTGTCATGGGGGTGGTACCTTTTCAAAAGGTACAAATTTGTACCTAAAAGGTCCACATTAATAGCTCAAGGGTACATATTTGTGCCTAAAAAGTACAAAAGTGTTCTTCTTAAAATCTGTAGGTATTAATATATACTATTCAGATACCAATATAGATAGTTTAAGTACAAATGTGTACCTTTTGAAAAGGTACCACCCCAGCTCACGTACCTTTATTCCTGAGAGTGTATAGAAAAATAGTAGTTTAAACGAGCATCTCTTCAGGGTGGCCACAGGCGAAAATAACAAACATAAAGAATCTACAAAGTAAATGAACTAAATTACCTATAAATATGTCAAGAAAAATACAGGAAGCTTACCTTCCTCCGTAAAATAAACAAAGTCAAAAGTGACAGATAAATAGGCAGCCCTCCCCTACAAGCTTAAACTTTTAAAAAGTTCCAAGCATACAACAAGACTAAAAGTTGGTTTGTTGGCCGGAGAGGTAGGGAAAATTCAAGAGCTCTCTACTCCCAGCAACCGTCACACCACAAATGAGCTTCCTGAACCCTGCCGGAAGTTCCTTTTTAAAAGCCTCCACGACCAGCAGCCAATCAGAGCTTGGATCACGTTAGAATGGGGGCCTATGGAATAACAGAAAGGAACAAAAGAAGGCGAGGCAAAGAAAAAGACGCAAACAATGTGCAACAAAAAATAAATAAACTTTAGTCGTAACAGATTCATTCGCTGCTCTTTATTAAGAATGTTTAAATTATACAGTGAACAAAAGGTTAATGAGATTTGATAACTTAATTCAATTTTTTATAATAGCTATTAATTTCAATAGGCTAAGCTGTTTGATAAATTATTTGCAGCTTTTTCTAATGTATACTATTATTTTATCCTTTGTAAATAATAATAACAGTAATTAGGGGTGTGATGAGACTACTTCACGAGAGAAGACACGAGATTGGGTTCATGAGAACGAGACGAGACGATATTTTTACAGTCTTTATAAGAAGTCTTTTATTCGACTGAAAAAAATAAATGAATCACAAATTACAAACTGTTTAGGCTTAAAAATCAACTTGTAATGAATGTTATTTTACTTCTATTTTAATTTTATTAAATTATATGCAGTAAAGGACATCCAAGCACTGCAAAATATTTTGCTAATATTTGAATGGAAAATAGATTTTTATTCAACTAAAAAAAAGAACACAAAATGCAAAACAATTTAGCTGTTTTCTTTTTTTATTGTAATGAATGTTAGTTTACTTCTATTTCATTGAATTATATGCCATAAAGTACATGCAAAAACTGCTAAATATTTAGCTATAAACTTTACTTTAAAGTCCTTTGCGATTGTAATAGTTTGATTAAGGTGTTTACATGCAACTGGAATAGGAATACTCCACATCTTAATTCCAGTTGTGTTTACGACGATTATGACTTTCAGCATGTCTAAAGTGCTACTCCATCACATGTTTATGATGCATGGTTAATGTGTATGGCTGCAGTTGTAGCCTCTGTAGTCGCTAAAAAAAAAAAACGGTTAAGTCACACCTGCCCAAGCAAACGAGTGACGCACAACACAGAGGCAGCCTGGGTTGTCAGGTGTGTGCAAAGCACTTGGTGTTCGGTTCAAATTCAATTTTGCCTCCAATCTTCAGTGCTAATTTCACTCTTCATGCTCCATCATAACATCACAACTCACAAGACATGTTTTCACCCCGACAAGAAATTTTGTCGCGATTTAATCTTTTGAGATCTTGTCGTACGAGATCTTGTCACATCCCTAATAGTAATACTAAAACATTTTACTGACCATTTCAACTGTTTATTTACAATGAAACAGCTCCAGATGAACATATTTAGTCATTTTGTTTTAGGGAGTTGAAATGTTATTAGCCAATCACAGATAATCTTTTTTTTTTGTGTGTGTAGCTCTGTTACGAAAATGTACGCAACATCTTTACTATTGCAAAACTTAACAAGTCATCTGGAATGTTCTGTATAAATCTGTATATTGGCCACAGGTTCCCAGATTTTTCCCAACGACACACACACATACACACACAAACCAATAGGCCAATATAAACATTAGCTTATTAACAACAAAAAAATGCCATATATTTTATAGTCTTTTATTCGTTTGCTTAATTTCAATATTAACCTCAACTAATGTGGATAGCTGGCATAAAGTTTGGAGCACAGCAGGTTCATTCTTGCTTTAATTTTGGAAATTACCACTCAGAGGTCAACCTTTCTGTTTTTTCCCTTTTTTTTCTTATTCCTTTGCCCTTTCTTTTGATTTTGCAGTCAGTGTGTGTGTGTGTGAGTTTGTGAGCTCTGTTGTCCTGACGTGACTCTTCAGTTTATTTCTGGAATGTTCCGCTGTCAGTCAATCAGACAATAGGGAGGCTAAATAATGGAGCTGTATAACTCACGGATAAAAAAATGCATTCATTAAGCCTGTATGTGTGTGCGAGTGTGTGTGTGAGTGCGTGTGAGAGTGTATTGAGTTGCTTTAATTATCCCATTCTTTATAATCAGGTGGAGTATTAAGGCATGATTTAACTGGTGACACTAAATGTGTATGTGCCTATCTGTAAGTGTGTGCCTATCTGTAAGTGTGTGTGTGTGTGTGTGTGTGTGTGTGTGTGTGTGCGCTTGTGTGAACCATGATTTACGTCACCATCTGCTATTATTAAGATGAGAAAATTATCCCTCTTTTGTTGGGATACACACACACACACACACACACACACACACACACACACACACACACAGAAGAGGTGCCAGTGTTGAAGGGCACTGCAGTCATTTGGTTTAGTGTCTAAGACTTATTTAGTGTATGATTATCTGTTTTCTGCACTTGTCTTCAACAGTACCTGACTTTTTTCCCAATACGGTCAGTCAGCAGTATCGGCATGTGTTGATGACTTCATGCGTCATTAGGGTGTCTCAGTGAGGTGCTGAATGTTTAGGCCGTATTTAACCTGCCGTAATATTGGCCATGCTATTGATCACAGCTCCCTTTAAAAGGGGATAGAAGCTCTTTGCATGCATTAGAGTAATGTTTCTCAACCACGTTCCTGGAGGACCATCAACAATGCATGTTTTAGATGTCTCCTTTGTCTGTCACACCCATTACAGGTCTTTCAGCCTGTGTTAATGAGCTGAAGATCTGAATCAGGTGTGTTTGGTTTAGGAAACATAGAAAATGTGTAGAGCTGGTGGTCCTCCAGGAACATGGTTGAGAAAAACTGCATTAGAGCTTACATATAGTAGGTATTAGGTCAGAAGCTTGAGGAATGTTACAATGTGTGTGTGTGTGTGTGTGTGTGTGTGTGTGTGTGTGTGTGTGTGTGTGTGTGTGTGTGTGTGTCTGTGAGGCTCGACCTTTCTTCCCCATTCTGATGCTCTGTTTGAACTGCAGCAGATCGTCTTGACCATGTCTACATGCCTAAATGCATTGAGTTGCTGCCATGTGATTGGCTGATTAGAAATTTGCATTAACGAGCAGTTGAAAAGGTGAACCTAATAAAGTGGCCGGTCAGTGTTCATGTTGCATATTATATACAAATGTAATAATTAAATGTTTTTGCAGACTTTTATTTTTTAATTTAGTCAGATTTTTTTAAATTACTAAATGAAAATGAGAATATATTAGATATATCTAGATATCTAGATATATATTATAAATAGATATTACTATAAATATTATTAGAGACCATTTAATTGTGGTCATGTCATTGGCCCATGAACATTTTCTGCTTGTTATCAAACTATTTCATAACTGTAACAAGAGGCAATTCAATCATAACTTAATGTAAAAACAGCTATCATAGTATCATTTATCATTATGTGGCTGTTTTTGGATTCTCGGAATTTATACAAAAATTAAACATGCAAAACAAGAAATACCTTGGGACCATTGCTTTTGTTTACATCCCACAAAATAGTCTATAAAAATTTTAAGCAATAAAATGTATTTTTACAATTTTTGTTTTATTGCTCTTATGAATTATTTGCGTATTTGTTGTAATATAACATTTTCAAACAAATATTGTTTGTCATTACAGTATATATAAAATATCAGGTGCATCGGTTTTGCCTGACACTTCTGAGTCAGTCAAGTGTGTTACATATAAAGCAGCACTGCCCTCTTGTGGAGAGATTTTTAAAAGTCAACGTATTCAGCAAGATCATGCATTGACTGCTGTTCTGAAGTTCATTAGAGCCACATTTCACTGTTGATTTAAATCTCAGTTGTGTGAAATGAAACTGGACTCATCTGACGTTTCTGTTGTGTGATCTCCATCTTCTAGGAGCTCTACTCGCAGTCATATGACACGGTGGGAGTGATGTTCGCCTCCATTCCAGGCTTTGCTGATTTTTACTCTCAGACGGAGATGAATAACCAGGGCGTGGAGTGTTTGCGGCTGCTCAACGAGATCATCGCTGATTTTGATGAGGTCAGAATCCTGCCAAAACACAAACACATGTATTTAAAAGAAAAATCTGTCATTATTTATTCACCTATATGTTTCTTAAAATTCAATGACAGTTCACTATTGTCAAAAAGATTCATCACACCTGCTCAGAAGCTGCTGATGAAAGTTTAATACCACATATGTATGTAACCTGTGGTATTTAAAGACTGTGATTCTGCACAGCTGCTGGGGGAGGAAAGATTTCAGGACATCGAGAAGATTAAGACCATCGGCAGCACGTACATGGCTGTGTCAGGACTGTCTCCTGAGAAACAGGTATGAAAACACACACACACACACACACACACACACACACACACACACACACACACACACACAGACATACTTGTTTATGTGATTTATGAGGACACACAATTGTATAATGCCATGGGTATGACCTAGTTGTGATTGATTAGGGTGGTGTATGAGGACATGCCTTGTGCCCTCATAATTCAAAATACTTAATGGGGTTTTTTGACATTCAAAATTTGCCACAGGTTTACCATGAGGGTTGGGTTTGGTGGTAGGGGTAGGTAAAGCCATATGATAACTAATATAAAACACATTATGTCTATGGAGAGTCCTCGTAAATCATATAAATACACACACTGAGACACCTCTTTATAAACCAAAGCTGTGTCTGAAAATGCTCCCTAAAGTGCACTTTAGAGGATGTAGGCCATGTTGTAGTAAATAAATGACATTCGCATTCACTACTTTATATCCACAATCTATGTAATTTGGTGTACATCTCTGTACATTAGTTGATGTCCCAATTCTCAAAATCCAAAGTCAGATGGCAATAAAGTGTAAACGAAAAAGAAATATGTCGAATGACAACACTAGAGGCAGTCATTTATTCTCATTTTATGGCAAGTTTACATCAGAAGTCAGATTGAGTGTAAAAATCCTGGAAGAATAATCTTTTTTTTTTTTTTTTTTTAAATTCAGTTTTTTATTTCCGAAAATTCAAATATACATTTATTTTTACAATCAGATAGAAATATACTTTTAACAGCTGGAAGAATAATCTTGATAATTCAAGTTTTGATAATTCGAGTGTGTTGCATTGCCATTGGATTCAATCGCCACATGGGTCAAATTTTCTGATAGTTTGGATTTTTTGAAAAGTCTAGATTTGCTAACTAGTTTTTAAATTTTCAGCCGATCTGCACCAAAACGAGTGCAGAATAGTTTTCTGGAGAGGATATTTCTATTAATATTCGCAATGAAATGCTAATAGGTTTAATAAAAGTGCCATTTTGACTAAAATGCCAATAAATCTTGATTGCATCGAGATATTTACATCAATCTTAGTTCACAACATCTTGCTCCCAATAGATGTGCTTTCAGTAGTTTTTTTTTTATTGCTATTAAACTATTTCCCAGTTAGTTATAATCATAAATCAAAATTGCAAAATCTACGATGTGACTATTGCATATTTTGATAATGAAACGATATATTGTGCAGCCCTAATTTAAATGTTTATAGGATATGGGTTATCGGTATGTTCAAGCTGAGATTATCACCATCCAGATTCTCTCATTCACTTTCATCCCCTCTTTTGAGACTCAATTGCACTGTATAGAGATCAGTGAATAATTAAACACTTGCACACAGCTAAAACATTATCTGATGTCTTCTTATTAATGTGCAGTGCCTGTAGTTTAAGATCTGTAAAAAGGTTTGTGTTTGTGTACTAATCTTTCTATATGTGTGTGTTACCATAGCAATGTGAGGATAAATGGGGGCATCTGTGTGCGCTGGCCGATTTCGCCATTGCTCTGAATGAAAGCATTCAGGAGATCAACAAGCATTCGTTTAACAACTTCCAGCTCAGAATCGGTAAGAGTCATTTAATCATTTGAACTCTGATGATATATAAAAACAAACTTGAAAGTGACAATGGAGAGCAACAGTGACTGACAGTGACTTTTTTATCAGCTTTAGTTTTAAAACAAAATGTTTCCATTGCTTTTCCCAATAGGCATTTCAAGAGAATCAAAACAACCTCCTCGAAATGATTGGCAACATTCCATCATTTGATTTAAAAATTGATTTTGAAGAAAAAAATTGAAGGTTAAATTTAAAGTTTTTTATTGCAAAATATTTAAACATTTGCTAATATTTGAGGCTGCTTGAGGGTTTCAAGAGAATCTTGCAGTGCTTTGTAAGAGTGGGCAGTCACTATTGCTGTTTCCATTGTTACTCTTTATGTTATGGGTAATATGGTTATGGGTAATGTAGTTTTTCACCATTCTTCTTTTTTTCTTTTGTATTTTTAATCGAGGTGCACCTACAAATCTAAATTTTTATTTTTATTTTTCTATAAATAACTGTTCAATTCATACTTTTTATATACAGTATTAAGATACATAAAAAATAAAATTGAAATAGAAATAGATAGAAAACTAAACTTTGCAAAAGTCTTGCAAAATACAATATAAAAATTAGTGAAAAGTTATTTTAGATTCTAATAAATAGTTTATTATGTTTGTCTTGAACTTTTTTCCTTCTCCAAAGGTGTGTGATTTATTATTCATCTGATTTTACTTATTAAAAAACTATTCTCTCATTACAGGTATGTTGTCTTTTTATCATTCTTTCATAAAGAGTAGTGTTACATTCTCCATTTCTTGTTGGTTAAATTCTATTAGTTAACAGCAGTTTTTCTCAACCACGTTCCTGGAGGACCACAAGCTCTGCACATTTTTCATTGCAGCATTCCAATTCACATACTTATGCTACACCCTAAAAGTATGTACTTTTTTGTGAAGGGAAAGTATATACTTTTTAATTTGCAACAGAAGAGTTTTTAAGCTTTGTGACATACTACTTCCTCATTAACAGATTATTGTGTTGCTTAATTATGAGCTCTGTCAATCATCCACACATCATCCACATTTCTGCTATATTTAACTTTCTACCTTATTGGAGAAGCAGCAGCAGGTTAATCTCTCATTCACGAGTCTTTCATGCAGAGAAATCTCCTCAGGACTTTGGATAATTCTGCATTCAGATGTTAATGTCCAAACACTTTATACAAGTTCAGTATTGTTGTTGCAATAACACAGAAAATGTGATTTAAATATTTTCCAGTTGACTAGTTATTAATTAACAGTCATTCAAATATCTTTACCGAAGCCTTTCTACTTGACGGTTGGTCTCGTGCATCCATCATGTTTGTAGTTTATCTACACTTTTCACCAGCGTTTGTAGTTCTAATCCAATTTACACAGTTTACAAAATAGAAACCAACTACATAGTGCTGTTACAGTGTGCTCTAAAATTATTTTCTAGCTAGATCTCTTTCATACATATGTGATTAACAGACGCTCAGGTTGACAAGCAAGATTATAAAGGACCACTCACATATTCTACATTCAGCATTTGAATGGCTCTTTTCTAGACAACGACTTCAGATCTCAGACAAGAGCCACCTTTGTTCCTAAAGCTATTTTGCTCTAAAATGTAACAATTTTAATATTTCAATGTTTTGAACCAAATTTACTTTTGTTGTTATTTATTGACATTTAATTATTTGTACATTGTGCATTTCTTTGGTAATAAGTTTGGTTTATGTGTTAAGTTTTTTGGATTTGAATTTATAAAAGGTCCTATGAAGTGCTTTGAAATATTTTTTTTTCTGATATTTGGAGCAATCTCAACTGAAACACGAAGAGAAGGTGGGACATAGTTTAGCTCCTCCCTTTTAAAAAAACAGCCAATAGCGTTTTGTTTTATCACTGGTCTGCCAGTGAGAGTGGTTGAGCTCAAGCGCAGCAAGCAAATGAGATGCGTCTTGAAGGGGGCGGGGCATGGCCGATACTACAGAGCATTTGATTGGTTAGGATTTGATGAGAAACTGAAGTATGAGGTTACATGAATTAAACCGTTGATCCATTAAGGTGGGAGTGACAAACTACAAGCTTTACATGCTTATATCAGTTTTATATCTTCTAAACAAATTTTGTCACTGTTTTGGAGCACACTAGTTTATAGATATCTTAAAATCTATCAATGCTGATACTAACATCTTCAAAACTTTATTTTAATTTAATGGGACCATTAAAAAAAGCCACAATCAGCCACAATCAGCTCCTGACAGAGTGAAGTGTTAACACAGCGTTTGCTCTCTTTCTCAGGTATGGCACACGGCTCTGTGGTGGCTGGAGTGATCGGCGCTAAAAAGCCACAGTACGATATCTGGGGGAAGACGGTCAATCTGGCGAGTCGCATGGACAGCACAGGCGTCAGCGGTAAGATCCAGCTCCCAGAAGAGACTTATGCCATTCTGAACGAGCGCGGCTTTGCCTTCGAGTACCGTGGTGAGATCTACGTGAAGGGCATCAGTGAGCAGGAAGGAAAGATCCGCACACACTTCATGATAGGCCGCGTGCAGCCCAACCCGCTCATCCTGCAGCCCAGGAAGCTCACGGGCCAGTACTCGCTGGCCGCCGTGGTGCTCGGCCTGGTGCAGTCCCTCAACCGGCAGAAACAGAAACAAATCCTCAACGAAAACAACAACTCAGGCATCATGAAGGGCCACTACAACCGCAGGACTCTGCTGGCGCCGGGCGGCTCGGACACCAGTCATGCCGAGGTCACGGACAAAAGCGATCTGGCCTAAAATGGACCACGCACTTAACCAAAAGACTGAGCTGTAGTCCAGACTGCTACCGCTCACTGACTGTCTCTCTTGCTGTCTGTGTTTCTTTTTGTATTTCTTTTGTATTTGAGAAACAATAAAGGGGTTTAATTTTTTTAAAGAAGGTCTGGGCTTAATTTTGATAAAAGCACAGAATAATGGTTGAATTGGACAAAGCAATCGTGCCCTGTCTGATTTGAACCTTTTCACATTTACGGGTTTCCCAGCAGTGGAAGTTGTCGTAGTTTGGAAACTTTAAGAGCAGTGACTGGGAGAGTACTACAATCACATTGTTTTGCATTCCTATTTGCAGTGTTTGGGAAAGTTGCTTTTGGGGTGCTTTCACACTAGCACTTTCGGTTTGCATCCGGGTTCATTTTACATCAAAGAACGGTACCTTTAGCTAGTGTGCACAATCTCTTCTGAACTTGGCTCTCATGGCCGTCCATCCCCTAGCAATCGCTGTACACACAACAGCAGCTCTATGATGCAAGCGTACCAGGGTTCCGAAAGAAAAAAGAGGGTGAGAACACAAAGCAGCCAAGAAGGTGACAAGCGGGGGACAATCATACTTGGGTTCGGACAGGCAATTAAACCAAGTGTGAAAGCACCTTTGAGAAAAATGCATTGCAGTATTGAGTTACTCCCAAAAAAGTAACTAGTTGCGTTACTTTTTATGGTAAGTAATGTGTTACGTTACTTTTGCATTACTTTTCCTGACCTTTGCTGAGGCTTGATCTATTTCAGAACTTCAGGAGCTTTGCAATTAACATCGCACTGTATAATATTCATTTACTTTAAAAAAAAAAAAAAAACACATAAAATAATATTCATTAGGATAATGTTATCTTCGGAGCACTTCCTGACCCCTGAGCTATACAGTACAGATTAATGAAAGTTTAAAGCAATGTGTTTGCTGTTTTTGTGCTTTTCGTCTTATGTAAAATTACTGTTTATTGAGGCAGTCCAGCCTGATCTCACGAGGAAATGTTACTATTTTACATTTTATCAGTTTGGTTGGCTAAATCCTATGAGTTCCGTCATACAAAAATGTAAGAGTTTTAAAAAGAGGCGTGGCTACAAACCCTGCCCCTAAACCCAACCTTCATTACGGATGAGCAAATTGTACAAATGAGATTGTACGACTTCATACAAATTAGCCACTCAATCAAAACGTTACAAATTGCTGTGAAATATTGTGGGACAATCCCCTTTTCTTTTTCTAAGATGCGTTGAAAATAATGAATGCATTCTATCACTGACTGGGTGATTCACCATTACTAAGTTTATTTAGTCCAGCAATTTATTTTTTAAAAGATAATTAATTTAAATAAAAAGTATAATAAAATTACATATTTTTTTAACTGATGCGTTACTTATTACTTAGAAGAGTAATTTTATTACATAACTCGCATTACTTGTAATGTGTTACCCTCAGCACTGACTAATTGTTCAAATAAAAAAAGGAAAAGTTCTACGATATCGTTTTCACGACTTTCAAAGAAAGGAAAAGAATCAGAACAGAGGACAATGTCAAATTTACTTTCCCACCCATATTTGCTACATTTAAAACACCTCACATATGCATTTTTTTAATAATTGGATGCAAATATAATATAACATAAAACTTTATTAAAAACTTTAAGATGCTGATGATCATCAAAATTCATCAGCACTGTCTTGTGAAGAGTGGCTTTTCATATTTAAATCATGAATAGTAACAATAGTATTGTCCACACCAACACACTAATGTCCAACTTATTATTTATAAGCCTGTGATGCAGTGGGAGTTATGCACAACTAACTTCAGTAACACTTTAATTTAAAATCCTTGATATTAGTTTATTTATTAGCTAACATGGATCATCAATGAACAATACCTTTATTACAGTATTTATTCATCTTTGTTAATGTTAGTTAATGAATATAGAGTTGTTAGTTCTCGATAACTCACTGTGTATTAACTAATATTAACAAGCATTTTGGATTATTAAATTATTATTTTAATAATAAATGTTGAACTATGATTAATAAATGCTGTACAAGTATTGTTCATTATTAGTTCATGTTAGTATAACTCCTAATGTCTTTATTTTGTAAAATCGGATGCATCATTTCTGTCTCGGGCCTTACTGTATGTGCTTCATATGGAGCTGTTTTACTTAAGATGCCAAAGAGGAGTTTAACCAATGTTCATCACAAGTGCAGATTTATATCAGAACGTTTATATTTCTTTGATTTAAAGGTGGTAGAAGGTCACTGGTTCAAGCCTCAGCTGGCATTTCTGTGTGGAGTTTGCATGTTCTCCCCGTTCGCGTGCGTTTCCTCCGGGTGCTCTGGTTTCCCCCAAAAAGAGGGAAATGCTAAAATTGATTGACCATAGTGTATGTGTGTGAATGAGTGTATGGATGTTTCCCAGGGTTGGGTTGTAGATGGAAGCGCATCCGCTGCATAAAACAAATGCTGGAAAAGTTAGTGGTTTATGCCACTGTGGCAATCCCAGATGGGGACTAAGCTGAAAAGAAAATGAATGAATGAATTAAAGGTGGTTATTAAAATAGAAAAGAATTCACAGAAATGCTTAGTTTAGCTGATCATCTTAAAAGTCCATAGAGATCATTATAAGTTACTGCTGTTTGAGGGATAATTGAATAATTTACTCACCTCAGGGCCATTCAAGGTGCACGTGCGGGTGACTTTTTTTCATCAGTAGAGCATTAAAAAGATTTGAATGTAAAACCATGGTCCTTGAAGATTCATAAAATGCTAATTAACAGAAAGCAACACTTTGAGAGTAAAGAAACATCTAGAGGCAAAACTAAAATAATACCTTTGGCCCCGAAGATGCAGAGGTATGCAATAATGTGTACCTGTGTGCATGAAAATGAAAATTATTTACAAACATATTACCTTTAATCCACAGCCTCTAAACATGCCCTGTGCATGTGTATAACTGTTTGGAATGCATTTTTTTAAGTATTGGGGTGAACTGACAGTCACGTCTGGCGTGAAGCAGGGAATAATCAAAGGTGCGGATCCAGATGCAGCCAAACAAACATTTATTTAACCAAACTAAAACAAAGCAAAGTAACAAGAGCACCGCAGACATCATAGGAGTGACCAAAAATTAATGACAATGAATTGTTAACAGAACAGGGTATAAATACACAAGGAAACAATTAACTAAACAAGCTGACAAGAGGGTGGAGACAATTAACTCAAAGGCTAACAAGATTAGGGGTAAACAGGTGAGCAGGAAATGACATGAAAACAGAACTAAAACATACAAAACAGAAACCAGGATGTCACACTGACCTTCTTAAGCTCTTTAAAGCAGGTTGGATTCAGATTAGCTTTCAATGTTTTTATCATTCATCTGCTGGGGAAAATATTCTTAAAGTGATTCCACCAATTTACAATTAAATCCAAATTGTGCTGAGCAATTTATAGAACTGTGTTGTTATCCTTAATGTCATTCTGCAGACTTCATCATAACAGCAAATTTGTATCACCTGTATTGTTTATTGGTTTAAAAAGCTGTAAAAAAATAGGCCCTATCGGAGACGAGCCCAGTTCATTCAGTAATACTGGTAAATTTCGTCAACAACTTTACTGTTAAATTTTTGATTGGCGCTGTTCACAACGTCAACGACGTTTTGTATTTTTTTCTGGAAAAGCACCATGCACACATCAATTCTAAAATACTACTGGTAAAATCTGTGATATTAACAAAATAATGACCTCAACTACTGTATAAGGGGTTCAGCCTTTCTGTTGTTTTTTATTTTTGTTTGAAACTTAAGCATTTGTGCTGCTGGTTTTATTCTGGAGACAAACTAAAATTTCAGAACTGATAATTGTCGCTAGCAGAAGGTAGAGGTGATACTGAGGGTTGAACAGTCATAACGGACATGGTCAATTCCTTAGATGCATGGGAAAGTGTTCTGAAAAACTCCAATGAGAAGATGTGAACTTGCAGTAAAGAGAAATTGGATAAAGTAAATTTATTGTAGTGTGTGAGTGTGAATGGGAGATTGCATGGATGTTTCCTAGCCCTATAGGGGTTGCAAAAGTTGTTCATTCTCAAGGTTGGTGCAGAAAGGTAAATAGCTGGTAAAACATATGTGTAGAGTAGCCTATTATTTGGGCTATATGTGACTGATAAAGAGAAGAGGATCAAACCAAAGAAAAGTGAGTGAATAAACAAAGGAAATAGAGCGAAGAAATGTGAGGAAATGAGTGAGTAAACAACTGGTTTAGATTTTGCAGGTGGAACACCTACGTTTAAACAATTAGCATTAACAGCCAATCAGAAGCCTTCCTGCTTGAAAGACCGCGAATGCACAACAAACTGAAACGCGACCACGCGGGAAATCATAACTCCTTACAGGTAGGCAATAATCATTATATTGTCTTCTATGTCAGAGGTTATTTTTTTTTATTTTTGGACATGAGCGTAGTTAAATGATTTATATCACCTGTTGGATATGCTCATTATTTATTAGGTCTATAGTTCTGTTCGAAGCAGCCTGTCAAGGACATGTCACGAGTATAGCATTCTTTATTTTGGATTTTCAAGATCTATAGGCCTAACAGATGTTTTGACACCGAAAATGTTTATTTAGAGAATAAGGTTACGGCTATAGTTGAGGTAGGAAAAAAGCTAACTTAAGTTAGGCCTTTTGTTTTAGCTTTGTAAAAAAATATTGGAATCTGCTATTTGAGGACAGAAAGCTTAGTTAAAGATAGTGCAACAGATTTTATCTAGAGTAATGTTAGAATTATAGACTTGTGCACTGATGAGTCTGAGGTAGGCCTACACATTTATGCATAGAAAAATTAAGAGACACGGTTTCTCTGGATTCACTGGTTATTGTTGTATTTCATCCATATTTTACATTTAAAATGCCATTTAGTGGGTTTTTGTTTCAGGAAATGGCAATGATCAGGTTAGAAAATGTTTTCATTTGATGTGGTTGAAAATCTGAATTAGTAAGTTATACCAAATATTGATTTCTTTACTCTTCTGAACATAAAACATTTGTATTGTGTTGTCCAAAAATTAATACGGACATCTCTTTGGGTATTTTATGTAAATTACATTTTATTTTAAATT